TTCCCACTTGAAATAAGGTCAGGAAGATGTGTTTTCTCTTTCAGTGTGTTCGAGGGATTAGCAAATGGAGAACTGACTGGGAATATGAGTGACCAAAAATCTGAGTAATGTAATCAAGGTGAAGCCACAACTGGCCATGAAGTGGGTCTAGTAAGCACCTCATCACCGAGCCTTGTGGACCAAAGCAACATTGTGTTAGCTTCCTAGGCTGCTGTAACAAAGTACCATGGAGTCAGTGGTTTAACGTAACACAACTTCATTGTTCCCCAGTTCTGTAGGCCAGAAGTCCAAAATCAAGATTTTGGGAGTCCACATTCTCTCTGATGACTCAAAGTCTAGGAAAGATCCTTCCTTCCTCTTCCTATTTACTGATGGGTCCCAGTGATCCTTCCATTTCCTGACTTGTAGATGTGTTACTCTAATCTCTACATCTGTCTTCATGACTTTCTCCTGTGTCTCTGTGTCCAAATTTTTCTTGTCTCATAAGAACCCCAGTCATTGGAAGAGCCTCCCCATCCAGTGTGACTTACTTTTGATATTATTATATCTGCAAAGATCCCATTTTCTTTTCTTTTTTTTCTTTTCTTTTTTTTGAGTAACGCGGATCGAACTCAGGTCCTTGAGGTTGCTAGGCAGGCGGCGAAACCACTGAGCTAAATTCCTGGCCCCCCATTTTCAAATAAGTTCACATTCACTGGTATTGAGGGTTAAGCCTTGAGCATATCTTTAGAGAACATAATGCACCCTACAACAATGAAGGAGCAGAATGAAGATGTGGACAGTTCCATTTATTATGCTGCTAGGTGGCCATGGGGGAGCCCTGGATGATCAAAGGGGGGTCTCCAAACCAGCAGCATCAGGCATTACTCAGAGCCTAACTAAATATGCAGGTTTAGCAGGGCATAGCAGCAGTGCATTTATGTAATTCCAGCACTCTAGGAGCCTGAGGCAGCAGGATCACAAAGTTAAGCCTAGCCTGGCAAACTTAATCTAGCAAGACCCTGCTTCAAAATAAATAAATAAAAAGAGTTGGGGTTGTGCCTCTGTTCAAAGGGCCTGGGTTCAATTCTCAGTACCACCAAAAAAAAAAAGCAAGCTTTCAGACTTCATCCAGATGTATCAAATTATAACCTATTATAAATATAAACCTGTTATAAATTATAAATAGGGACTTTAAGTGACTTGATGCACATGAAACTGAGAGAAATACCTTTTTAGGACCATAGTTCCCAAGTTTGGGCCTCAAACTGGATTGTCTTCACCTGTGAATTTGTTAGCCATGAAGTCATGGGTTCCATCTAATCTCTTGACCCAGAACCTCTGGGGATAGGACCCAGAAAATTGACTCAACAAGCTCTCCAGGTGGTTCTTATGCACTTAAATTCTGAGGACGAGAGACTTTGAGAAAGGACTTCAAAACTATCGCCACAGGCACTTAGAGGGAACAAACTCACTGTCTCTGTCAGGACTCCTTGGTGAGCTCAGCCAGGAGCTAAGAAAAACCCCATATCTTGTTGTCTTAATTGTCTGGTTGTTCTTTTGTGGGCTTAGGTTAGATAATTAAAGGCCATTAGGGCACCTGCTGTTTCAGAGACTCCCATGAAAGAATAACTTGGCTATGGAACAGAGCATTGTAGGCTCTGCTAGGCTCAAGACAGCTCTCTTGGACCTGGTAGGTTTATGTTTTACATTTGTATAACAAAGGGATAAAATGTCTAGCACATGATCTTTTCTTACGGCCTGAATGTTTTGCCCTGGTTGCTTCTGAGTTCTGGGGTCTTGCCTGTAATTCTTTGTTTCCCTTTTGAGTCACATTCTTCCTGTCTGATTCTACCTCTCCCACCTACCAAATTGCTCTCTCATCCTCCTAAATGTCAGATAAACAGATGCTTTTAGACCAAGGCTATGACTTTCATTTCTGAGGTCCCATGAGGCCAATTTACAAGCTTCATATAGATGGAAAACAGCTCTTGAACAGTATGCAGGCTGGCCTGGGCCCTGCTAGATAACAAAGTTGGGGTTAGCTCCTCTCTAAAGACAGCAGGGAGGAAACAGCCTTCTTGGCAGCCTTTGAGGAGTTAACAAGAGGCAGTTGGTGCACACATTGGCTGACTGATACATTTACTTTTACATTCCAATTTAAATTTTTGTCTAATTGGCACGATTGAAACATTTGTTGTACATTGAGATAGTTCTTAAACTACAATTACAGGGTTAAGTTATTCACTTGCTTTCTGCTGGGGCTAAGTACACTACTCAAGGCCACTTGAAAGTTTATTAGTCAGCGAGTCCTAATTAGAATGTAACATCTATAAGCTCACTGGGAGACTAAAGGAAAAAAATAGAGTACTAGGGACATTTTAAAATCCAAGTAGCTGCTAGGATTGTTACAGAAAGAAATTATTAAGTAGGACAGAGAACAAAATATAAAGAGAGTTTTAAGTATGAAGATATATTTTTGGTATGAGATGATTTTATAGGATAAGGTTTGGTCCTATGAAGATGGAAAAAGGAAAGATAGAGGCAAAACTAGAAAGTGCAAGTATGTGACAAGGTTTCTAGAAGATGAGGTTAACAAAGAAAATATGTATGTTTAAGTTTTGCCTAAGGTCTGTTCCTTCTAAACCTCCTTGTTGCTCCAAGGTGTACTCTTAAACAGTCAATCACTCTTACTTAGGTAAGAGCTCCTCTTCTAGTCTGTCAGCAGTGGCCCTTCTTTATTGTCTACTGCTCTGGGGATACAAAGACAAGGGACTCTGCAGGTAAGCAGAATTTTGTCTTCCGAGATGAGGATGTGAGGAGACACATGCTGGTGACAGCCTGATAGATGACTTTCCAGATCTAGTTGAGATCTCCAATTTCAATTTAGGTTTGATGACAAATACAGCCATAAAATAATGCCTGAACAATTATTTTTCCCAGCTTTGTGGCCAGCAGGACCCTGGCCCACGTTAGCCTTGATTGCCCTTCAGGACATTAATAGAGACTTACAGAGGTATTTCACTTTCTTTTGGGTAAAGGTAGTCCAACTTCTGGTCACGACCAAAAGGCTTCAGGAACACAAGAGAGGGTGAAGGACACAGAGTGACTATGTAGGTGTCCTCACTGGCCCCCATTCTGGTTGTGGCCACTAGCAAATAGGACCTCATAGGCAGTCAAGGTGTACTTTGGCCAGGGAATATTCAATTAAAAAAACAAGGGACACCTTCTCTCCCTTTGACATTTTTCTAAAAAATGAAAAAGTTTCAGCTCCCATCACCCCTTTAAAAATGCATCCTCAAAAACTGGGAATCCTTTGATCCACAGACTCTAAAAAGGTGCCATTTGACCTTCGTGTCCACTCACCGCTGGCCCCCCTACCCTCTAGGAGAAAAAGATAGAGGGCTGCAGCATCCATTCCCCAGCTGGAAAAATACTTCCTCAAGACAAAACTATCAGACTTTAGGACAGGTTACATCTCTACTTCTTAAGCCTTCTCATTGTTTCTCTAACCTAATGACACAGGACCTGCCCTGGAGTTCCTTACACTTTCCCTCTGTCTCCTTCCAATATACAAGGGGCTATGATGAAAAGGACAGGAGATCTTACGGGCAGTTCAAAACAGAACAGAGTGATGGGTAATATGAGTACCTCAGTTTCTCTCTCTCCTCCTTTTGGTGGGAAAACAAACATCATAACTATTCAGAAACATGGACAGGATTAATGTTAGAACTAAATGACACCAATAATCACACCTGGGGTTATCACAACCCAACATTTGGACCTGTACTCAATGAGACAAGACATTACCTCATCTCTAGTTTTTCTCTTTTTACTCCCATTATCAAAATCATTACAGGTCATGCCCCCAATAATCACAGCATTCAAGACCCCTCCACCTCTGCACATAGACAACTGGTTTTCTAGAACCAGACCTTCCTCTATAGGCTCATGGTCACCTTGGAACCCGATATCCACCCCACTGACAGATTTACAGTCCAACTTTAAATTTGCCTGGCTACAGGGCCAGACCACTGCCGTCTCCCTTGGAAAAACTGGCCAGTATCTCCAAGATGGGAGGCTCTTTTATCATACCCTGCCTTTCTCGTAGAGGGAGAGATACACTGCTGCCAGTGCCCTCCATGACATCCAATTTTTTAACCAGCTTACATTCCCAATGTCTGGTTCCATCTGGAATCTGGGCTCCTTCCTAAAACAGTCTGTCACCCAGTCTAGGTTTGAGAGTTCCCTCCTTAAATCCTCTTGGGGTTAGCCTGAACCCCTATAAGACCCTTCATACTAGTATTGATGCTCTTGCTATCCTCTACACTTTGGACTCTGTTTACTCTGTCTCCTTATTCACTCTGTTTCCTCTTGCCTAAAGTTTATTAAATTTCAGCTGGTCATATAAATGAAACATGCCATGGAGATCCCACCTAACGTCTACCACGGGCCATTGGACAATCTCTCTAGGGGATGCTCCTGACTGCCAGCTGCTTCTTGGCGCCCCTGTATAGCTCAAAGCAGCTAGGTGACCATCCACCCTTTTCTCTAACAGTTAAGGTCAGCCTGTGGGGGGTAGTGGTGGAATGAGACATAATTAATGAGTCAGGAGTTAGGGTTCTATTAGGCAGTAAGGAAGTGGTGCCAAAATGGAGGTATGAAGCCCAAAATACAGTCTGCTGAGTCACTGCCCTCCAGGATTCTTACAAAAACATCTGGCAGGTGTCCTTCAGCAGTCTGAGACCTCCGGCAGGCCATTGGCTCAAGTGCACATAGACCTTTCTCCAGCACTGTATTCATAGATTAGAACCTAAAAAGTATGTAGGCTCCTATAGGGTAGAAATTATACTGCCTACACAAAGGCCTGAGCGTTCTTCTGAATCCCTTTAAATCTCCTAGACAGAGCCTCCTTTGGTATCCTACTCAGGATCCCCTCCCAGCTAGCAGGGACTTCCTTGCTTCCATATCTTTTACTTTCTAGCCTTTATATCTTTTAAATACATTTGCTTGTACCCTACCTCCTTCATCTGTGATTTCATTCTTCATCACTGCGGGACAGGGTCTCAGAATTCCAGCTACACTGTTAGGGGAAGACAAGCAATAAATAAATAATTATAATTCATCTTCTGTCAGATGGTGATAAATAGGAAAGCAGTATAGACAGTACTGGGTGTAAAGTGTTGTAATGATATGACTGAAAAGTCCACTCTAGACTAAGTTGATAAACAGTTTTTATGGACATTGTGTCTTATGTCAAGAGTGGAGCAACATAGCTTGAGGAAGTTGCCTTCTCCCATACCCTCCCTCTCACCCAAGAATCCTCGGGAATATAGAATTGGACTGCTAAATATGATAGCCACCAGCCGCATGTGCTATTAAATTTTAAATTAAGTGTAATTTCAAAATTAATTCGTCAGACACACTAGGCACATTTCGAGAGTTTAATAGCCACATGGCTACTATCCACTATATTAGACAAAAAAGAGACTGTTTCAAATCTGCAGAAGATCCTCTTGGACAGAAATGCCCTTGAATAATGTGGGCAGTATCTTATATGGGGGAAATCTGTGAGCATCAACATCCTAAGTAAAAGTACTAGTCATAGAAGGAAGTATGCAGGACTAAGATTTAGTGAAAAACAATAATATGGAAAATAAGTAGCACCATTTTGGAAAAACAGCATCATTTTCTAAAAAGAATATTGTACATTCTTTAAATATGGTGCTAGTTAGCATGTTAAATTCAAACCTGACTCATAAACTTACAGGCATGTAGGCAAGCCTGGGTCCAAGACCGCACTGGGGCTCTGGTGACCCACCAAGCGGCCTCATTAGAGGACCTAGACCTGCTCCTTCATCCTCCCTGACCCCAGGGTTAACGAGGATGAACGACAGAGAGGCAGAGTCGGTGTAACCTGCGGGCAGCCGGGGGCTCTCACCTCTAGTGGGCAGAGGAGCCCCTGCATCTCGCTCACCTCATCTTCATTCGCCCACACAGGGGCACGAGCAATCAGAGTGACACAAGAGTCATCTGCTTTCCAATACCCATCAGGACATCTCTGGTAAACAACTTAGCCTCAGCTGTCTTAGGTTTTCCCTGCACTATGCAGTCACCCTGAGTGCAGCCTTTCTCCTTTGTGCTCAGAGGAGGCCAGTGAGGCCTCAGTGCTCCTCTGGTCTCTGGCACATTGTAAATAACTGGTTTTGTGTGTAAAGGAAAGAATGCCTGTTAACTAAGCTATCATTTTGTTCCTCCTTCAATCAGTCTCATCAGTGAAGAGAATTTTTTCACTCTGTCTTTAGGAGTTAGTTATACTCAATTCTACCTGAAAATGTGAAAAGAACCCACAAATATGGAATATATTGTGATATTGAGGATGTGATACTAAGAATGTGAATAAGACAATACTGAATAAACACACATTGATGCTTTGTGAAGGATTTAACCATGAATGGGTGGCAGGAAGTCTAAGAGAGAGAGAGTGACCGTTTTCTGAATCTTTCCCTATTCCACCGTTAGCATGGGAGGACTGGTAGGAGTACATCTTTGGCACTTCTGTCTCACCTTTCTCTCTGCAACAGTCTGAAGGTCTGGTTCCCTTAGAGCTGATGTGTCAAACCCTCACCCTAAGATGGTGATGTTAGGAAGTGTGTCCTGGAAGGTGGCTGTGTGGTGATGGTGGAGCCTTCATGAGTGTGATTAGTAACCAGATTAAAAACTGGTCCAAAGGAACTCATTTGCCCTTTGCTCCTTGTGAAGACACAGCAAAGAAAAAAAAAAAAGGAAAGAACAGGAAGCAGGTCCTCATGAGATGCTGACTCTCTAGTGCCTTGGTTTTAGACTTATTTCTAAGTTACTCAGTCTCTACAGTACCTTGTTATAGCAGCCCAAACTAAGACACCATCTTTCCCTGTTTTCCTAATCTACAACTGTCTTTATTTTCCCATCTTCCTTTGCTATCATTCTCTTAGGAAATCATAAAACATCCAGAGTATCAGCTGGGTATGCTCAAGATTGGGATGGTGCTGAAAGTGGAAGACTTGATCCTGTTTCTCCAGATCAAATTTCAGATTCACTGAAAACAGAAACTGCCAGATGTTAATCATGGCCTTTGATCATTAATCCTCATAAGTTAACCTTATTGGATTAAGAAATTCCTAGCCCATTAGTAAAGTACTCCAGTGGGTGTGTCTGCCTGGGTCATGGAGGTGTGACCTTGGGTTCTATATATGGTCTTGTGGGAGACATTCAGCCCAAACATATTGAAGTTCTGCCATAGCACTTCCTGGTTGGCAGAGAACACTTCCCTTTGGAAACTGGTCAGTTTTCAAAACCTGGAGCAATCTGAAGTTGCTACTGTCTTTTAGATATTTTAATGAAAAATTTTCTCAATGCTAACTGCTGTAAAATCTTCCAGTTGCCTCGGCTCCTTTGAAAGTGCCACTCCAGAGAGAAGACAGTGTTAAGTCAGAGGCCCGCCAGGGAGCTCTGACTGGGCACCAGGTGTCCTGGCCACTGCTGCTCCTGCGTCTAGCAGGCAGCTTGGCAGTAGATTGCCTCTGATCACACAGATTCCACGTCTTCAAATTATATGCCTGCAGAACTTTGTCCTTTCACCCGATTTCGGGGTACTCCTTTTTTTTTTCCTTCATGCTTTTTGTTTACCTCTTTTCAATCAGAAAACCTTCCTAGCATCTTTGGACAGTGATAATGCACATTCAACTTTGCAATTGTGGTGGATATGAACTATCTCCAATAAAAGATCAACTCTCAGTTAAACAAAGCTGTGAATGTCCTTGCCTTAGTTTGTGCTCTCTCTCTCTCTCTCTCTCCCTCTCTCTCTCTGAGGATGGGGACTAAGGATCGAACACAGGGCCTTCACAATGAGCTATGCCCCTATTTTTAATTTTTATTTTGAGCCAAAGTCTCCCTAAATTACTTAAGTTACCCAGTCTCTGCTCGAATTTGAGACCCTCCTGCCTCAGCTCCCAGAGTGCTAGGATTGCATGTGTGTATCACCATGTCCAGGTTTAGTTTGATTTTTCTTCTGTATGCCCTGTTCCTGATGGAGAAACTTGTCTTTGTTCAAATCTAGAATAATTCTCTGGGAGAAATCCTTGTTTAGATATTTAGTATAGTTTTGAAAGCTTTGTTTTAGCTAATTGTATTTTACCACAAACATGCGTTTCAGGTCCTTCTAATATGAGTGGGTACATTGAGATTTTTGTTAATTTTTTTCCCTGTCAATATCAGAATTGCAGAACATGTGATATTTTTGTCCTAGTCGCTCCTCTTCCCATTTGGCTGTGGTCACATCATTATTCACAGCATGGCATTCCTCTTTTCTTTCCTAATTAAGCAGAAGAATACAGAGTGCTAATGCAGGAGACTAGCTGCCTTGGTTTGGATCAGTTCTACACCCTACAATCTAGGGTGGGTTGTGTAACTCCTCTGGGTCTCAGTTCAAAGTTTTGCCAATTTCTGTAAAGCACTGGGACACAACCTAGCACGCCATCAATTTTCAAGGAATGTTACCTGCTCTTATGATGATCAAGCACTATGATGTGGGTCCACTCTGAGCTGCCTGCTGTGACCTCTCACACACTGTGAATTAATAAGGACTCAGTTAACAGCCCCATTCCTCCTCCTGATTTTATTGGAAAGTGATCATGTGTAGGACACTATGTTAAGTATTAGGGATGTAGAAACAAAAAGAACAATATGCTTTCATATTCGTACTTTTATACATACCTTTATATTTCCACAGCTATCAACAATTTCTCCATGAAATACTTAAGAGCCAGAATCATGCCTTGAAGTACATACTCCCTGGGCAGGGAAATTAGGCTGTATCTGAGCAGTGTCCATCTGGTCCTGCAGATGAATGAAAGAAGCTCCAGCAAGAAAGAGGCTGCTTTTAACACATCCTCTAGGGAAAACCCATCGTGTTTGACACAGACTTCACAAATTCCAAAAGAAAGGCAGAGAAAGAGGAAGCAGCAACATATAGATATGAGGATACAGGCTCTGGAACCAGATTGCTTGAGTTTGAATCCTCTCTTAATAGTGGCATGATCTACTTACTCAATAGTTGCATGACCTTGGCAAGTCATTTAACCTCTCTGCCAATTTCCTGATCTCTAAGATGAAGATCATATATAAGCACATATAGTTTTTATAAAGATTATTGACCAAAGACTTGTACGGAGGAAATGCTGAATCAATGTTTATTATCATCTCCCCCCGCCCCCCATCAGCATCATTAGCAACAGTAGCAGCAGCACCATCATCGTCCTCTTATGGAGAAGAAAGCCTGGATGCCTCTGTCATTGACACATTTATTTACAGAATTTTGTCCTTTATAAGGGAAGGAATGTTGTAGAGACCTATGAGTGAATGAGTATGAAACCTGTCAAGATATTTCTTTAAAATCCTCCTTTGAGATGCTGCACTTTATAATTTATTTGAATGGGACTGATTATGGTATAAATGTACCGTAAGCACCAACACTGATGAATGGGTGACATTACTAGGAGTGAGTGAGGAAGGGGATGGAGGTGTGTAATATTTATTGAAAGCAAATAATGCACTGGCACTGTGCTAGGAGGTGCACCACTAAAACCAAAGGCAGGCTGGAGTTTTCTAAAGGAGAAAGCTAGTTATGATGGGAACAACAAAAATGAGTAGAATTAAAAACCCACTGTATTATGTGAAGGATAATAATTCTGTACATTTGCATTGTGAGGGTCTATATATTATGTTGTTACAGACCTAATGAGCAATTGTGTGATCCCCATTGCACAGGTGAGGAAAATAAATCTCAGAACGATTAGCAGATGCAGGCAGAGACAATATAAGGTTAGAACACTATGTTCTAACTTGAAGAAAAGTTTTATCCCAAATCAATTGGAATTAGACTTTTGGAGTGAGAAGGATTCTGAGAATCTGGCCTAGATGGAATTGTCCTGTAATCAACTAGCAATGTCTGGCTGGGGATGGACATGAGCTGCGACTCCCATGTAAACACTGAGATATGTGCCTTGTCTTCCTGAGCCCAGATGAAGCAGCATTTAAGCCTAG